ATTGACCAATGTTATAGAAAAATACATTTTAATAAACAAATTTTAAAATATATCAAAATAATTTAAATTGTTTATAAAGTGAATAATCATGATAATAAATTTTATCCTAATAAATAAATTAATATAAAGATTGTTATTTAAATTATTAATAAAATTCTAGGGAATTTTATAAACTAAACATCATTTCTGTATTGTAAATTTATTGAATTTAGCTGGAAAAAATACACACAAAATAAAAGAATAAAATAAAAAATCTTATTAAATTCTCAAATATTTCATTGAATTTTCATTAAATTGTTTTCTTTCATCCATTTTCTATGAATTGAAAGTCATTTTATGCTCTAATTTTTTTCAAATTATAAAATTTCAATGCTTTTTCTTAAATTTAAATTCTGATAAAAGATAAAAATATAATTAAATTTTAAAATATTTTATCCATTTTTTTTAAAATATAAAATAATGTCAGCCTTCTTGCTATTTATTTCCATTGAACTAGAAACTAACTTCGAGTTTATAAACGATAGGACCTTCAAATTTTCAGGACATTTTGGGTTAGTTCAGTTAATACTTGTAGAATTTTGTTTTGAAATAATTGATGTTCATACTTTTTTTTTACATAAGAATTTCGTTAAATTTAATGAAGTTTCATCGAGATATTCGCATTAATTATAGAAGGATTAAAGAAATAATTTAATTTCTTTAAAAATTTTCTAATGATTAACTGCATCAGCTTCACAATTACACATCAGTACATCAGTTGTACAGACTTTATACTTGTACAGAGCACGTGTTTGTATCTTATTCAGTTTATTCACTATATTTATTTAACTTTTCATCGACGTCGATGCAATTTAACTCGATAGACTATGCTTAAGATCAATAACTAATTAACTTACTAATTATTTATAATTAGTAAGTTAATTAGTTACTGTTTTAGGAAGAAGAACGTAAGGAAAGACACTCTGAGATTTCAGTAAGAAATCTTTCCATTCCCCCCCTCTTACAAGAAGAAAAAAGAGATTATGCAAAGAAAGTTTTATAATTCTAGAAAAGGAAATCTCTCTTTTCTCTAAGAAAAGGTGATGTTTCTTTTCTAGAATTAGCAATGTTAATAGTAGCCATTCTATTACTTATACATTGATTCATATTACGGAACTATATTATAAAATGCTTTGTTTCATTATAATCAAATCAAATAACACTTATACTTTTGTATATAATTTCTACAAATTGAAATACGTGCTATGGAATTTATTTTTGGATGCATATTTTATAAATAATTAACGATAGATCTAAAAAAATGTTTTAAGTAAATTAATATATTCATTATCTACGTAGTGTACGTTACTAAGCACCACTAAAAACACAAACCTATTACTTTTTTTTCTTGCTGTTTTTTTCAGTATTAAATTTCTGAATGTGTGATTTATTCTGGTGACCTTTGTTAATCATATAATCGCTAAACAATGCTTAATCTATAACGAATAATCAAATTGATGGATTAAATAAAAATATAATTTAGACTAAGTGAATTGGAAACTTTTTAAATGGTTTCAAAGTTAATTTTTTAAGATGTCTTTTCTTCTATTTACGGCGATGAAACAAGCTTTATATTCGCTTCGTCCGTCCGCATGTCTGCACAATCTCTCAGAATTGAGCTGATAGAATTAATGGTTGATGCTTATGAAGGTGACACCTCTAAAATTATTTACATCTCGATGTTTTACTCATAAAAAAACTCTCTTCGAGTTATTATTACACAATCCCACACCTCTTTTTATTCTTTAAATAAAATATAACTTAAATTTGGATTAAATTCATTATTTTTTATAATAAAAAATCTATTATTGATATAAATACTTGATTAAATGGTAGTTTTTATTAAGTATTTAGGGGTTAAAAACATACTCGTGTCACGATTTTCGTGATATCAGTTTTTAGTGAAAATCTATACACGTTACGGATCAGAATATGAATCATTCTGATAAATTGGATTTCGATTTTTCTATGTTTATAATATAGAAAGATACAAAAATCGATTTATTGATTAATCTGTTGTACTATTTATTCTGTTGCATATAATCTAGCTTTATAATTTATTAATAGTTATACAAATCTTACCTACATATATTTGATATCGTGTATTATTATTTAATAAATAGAAATTTCGTTTATTTTCTAGAAAAATAGGGATTTAATTCTATCAAATCCCTTTACTAGCCTTTTTTTTTATGTTATTAAAGTATTCCCAACAGTGATATTGGGGTCAATAAGAATGTCAGATTCATCGAAAGTGGGACAACCCAATTTAAACCTTTCTCGTGATATAAAAAATTGAACTGAGATGGGTGTGTTTCTGTATATATCTACCGAGAATAGAATATATATAATTACTAATAAATCATCCATTTTATATAAAGATTCTCCCCAATTTATTTAATTACTTAATATTTTAAACAGGCTCCATACTATAAAGCCTACAAGATGGAAAGGTTTGGAAGATTGTATACGAGTCTAACGATTTATTTAAATTGTTTTTGTTGATTATTTATAATTGTTTATAGTTTAAAGGCGTATATTAAAAGAAAATTAACATTGGACCTTCAAAGGAAGAAACAGGCGTTTGGCCTGGATATTGATTGTCAGGTCATGACTCTCCTAGACTCATTTGTATGTAATCAGCATTGGTCCTACACCTCTTAAATTAACATAATAAAGTATCGAAATAGTTTAAATTATTTTAATACTTATTTTATACACTTTGGCTTAGATACGTTAACATTATTGAGTTGTATTTTTAATTACATGCTATAATGTTGGATTTAAACCGATTAGTATGATACTAAAACGCGTATGGCACTATTAAAATCCCTAAGGTACCTATTACATGTTATTAATGTCCGTGTAAATACATCTGTACGCAAACCACGTACGTTTTATCTCTAGAAGAATTTCCATTCAGGAATATTCTAGTCACGAATATTTATCCATTGTTCTCTTAGTTCTTTCAAAATACTGAAACCAGTTTTCTGATTTCTGACAGGAAAGAAACTACGCTTTTCATTCGAGTAAAAAAATAATCTAAGAAAATGACGTAATGACTTTACTTAGAGTCTACGCAGTAGAGTCATGGAGTGCGAAATCTGTCCTTAAATTAATGTATCGGTATATCGATTATTATAATTTAAATACATTATATTTTATGATATTTACAATAGACTTTCGCGAGACGTGCTCCTATCATTAGACTTAGTTACACAATTTTTATGTTTGGGACCTTGTTTGGATGTGTTTTCAGACATTCAGACAAACGCACCTGTCCTAATGTCGGGCGTATCGGGAGCTGATGCACTTTGTGACCTAATATCCACCCCTTCTGTCCCACCTTCTGACATCCAGGGAAATTTTCTGAAGGTTCATGATCGTCTCCCATGTGAAAAGGTGTAATATGAAGCAACCTTGACCTATTGGTGTAGACCAAAACTCAAATAACCTATTTTCTGGTTATTAATTTTATTATCTAACCAATAATTACCAATCGATTAATTTAAGTCAATGATAAATTTAATAATTAAATTTATAAAAACTCAAAAAGAAATGAATCTTACGTTATCGATAATCACGAATATTTTATAATTTCGTTTCGGTAATCCTTAACGATTTCATTAAGAAAAATAAACAAATAAAATATATATATTTTATTATTTATTCAAATTTTCCTTATTTCAACAGAGAATTTATATATTTTGAAAAAGATTTTGTAAGTTGTTTATCTTGGACTTATTATTTTCTCTTTCACAAGTTACAACGTTCCTACTCAAAGTAAACGAATATATATTAATGTAGGTAAAAAATTGATAGGGAGGAAGATGTAAATGCCGAAATGATACGGAAATCATTAAAATTCAGCGATAGTTACTCTTTTGCAAATTGGATTTTAACCTGTTTGGATAGTTTTTCTACTTACCTGTATTGCGTTACCTAAACCAGTGTAATATTAATCGGTGATAAGTTTTAAACGAACCAGACACTCCTCCATTCATCAAAATTTGACATTTGATTACAGAAGGATTTATGTTTAAGTAGATCCAGCATGATATATACATATATATACATATAATATTTTATTTTCACTCAACTCCCGCTGTTCTGTTCAGTTGGTAATTTCCTACCCTGCTGGAAACCATTTAATATTCAATTCTACATTTATCCAAACTTATTGAATTTTTGTGTAATTAGTATCGATTACGATGAGTAAAAAACTTTAGAAATTAACTAAATAAATCCAATAATAATAATTTTCTTTAATTTATTCCAAGTCTTCTTTATGAAAAATTTATTTTCTAGTCTTTTCTGAATTTAAATATAACAAAACTGGTTCCTTTTTTAAAATATTCTACAAGTGTTTTATTCATTCAAGAACATAATTTATCCACCTACATCGTTGTATCTTTGATAAATCTTTGGCTTCTTGACAAAATCACCTAGTAACTTCATTTTCTATCCTCAAGATGACATTGTATGTCCTACTCTAATTAGTAACCCTATATATCTTATAGAAGGTCACTAGGTGAAACAGCAGTTTATTAAACAATTAATACTTATTACTACTAATTATTATATGAATTACTAATTTATACGAAATATTACAAGTTTCTAAGAATAAATTTAAGCTAGAAATCTCGAATATAAAGGTGTAACCGAGGGTATTAATACTTGAAATTTTCGTGGAGAAAGTCTTTCACAATCGAATTTTAAAACAAAGAATAAGGGAAAAAACTGAATTTATTTTTATAAAAATTCAAATTTTATTGGATTAATATCATTGGAGCTTCGATAAGTGTCGTCATTCAGGTACGAGTGCAATCAGCGTGCTTGAATGAAACTCAAACCACGTGACTGGAAGAATGGAACCTACACATTCATAATGCTCTATATAATAGCTGCTGAAGGATAGCCTGACATACACCGAAAATGCTGGCCATTTATTTTAAGGAGGTAAAGATATTTTTAATTTTATATATATATATATATTATATATATACTTAAGTTTATTNAATCATTGCATCAATTTTCATATCAATGATTGATGGTTTATTATTGAGTATATTTAAATATCGAATGATGGAATAAAATGATATATTATGCTTCTCCGTTAATATCTGGCTATAGCACGCGTGGGAGTTATCATTTCTGACTGCTTGCTGTGGGTGTACAGGAATCCACAGCAGGATCTAACAGCAATTATTTTGAAGTAAATAAAATAATTAAAGAAATTTTTAATTCATTTTTCAGATTTTAGAATCATTCATTATGACACTTCTACTTCTTTACGTTCAGAAAACAGTTCTAGATAAGGATTATCTGATATGTACCCTTTACGAAGACAAATTATAAGGACTAATATTTAAAACTTAAGTGTTATATTCTTGTGGGTTTTTTGATACGAAGTAAATCATATTTTCATATATATGTTGCTTATGAATATCATATTCAAGTGAATTAAACGACGATTTAGAAATGACTGATTTAGCAACTTAGCTTTAGAGTTTACTATATTGGAATTATTTAGCTTTTTATAATAGAAATTTGTAGAGATAGATTTTTCTATTGGTTAATTTGATATACATCACAATAATAAAGTCCCAAACAAATATTTTACATATAGAAACATAAATTATCTCTGATAATAATCAAAATATTTTAATTACGTTGTAATAATTTCAAAATTAATTAATGTATTTATGTAAAGTGTGTTAAACAATTTAAATCGCCGTTCTGGACTTCACACCAAATGCATTATTACATGATTGACGACGTGAGATTAAGTCGTGTGACAACTCTCATAAACAAAACCGATAATAAGAGGCTGTCGACCACATTAAGCTGGTGAACAACTTAAAAATATCTCGACCGTCGTAGCATTATTATTGACCAATGTTATTCAAACGACGCCTGCGACAGTTGCCATTTGAATAATCCTTGCCTAAGGTAAAATTGCTAAACCTTTTAAGTTGCCGTACGAGTGGTTGTCACATAAAAACTTGTCTGTACTTACAATAGAAATGACATGGTTTCTACAGTAAACAACAATTGATGATGGGTCTATCAAATAGTATTTGCAGTTTTTCAAAGCGCTCGGCTGTCATCTGTTTACATTAATTGAGATCGTAATGTGCATAATATTTTTATTTAAAGAAAATTATGTAAAATTCCTATAAAATTATATTAAAAATCGCAATCAGAATATAAAAATTTATTACAATTTCCTTGCTAAGAACTTGCAATACTCGAACAAGTTCTATTGAAATAATTTATGCGTAGTGGTGTATAATTAATTTAATGCTTGTCATAATATTCAAGAATTAATGATAAATTTAGTACCAAATTTAAATTTTGTTATAATTAAAATCTCTTTTTTTTACATTTAAATTCTAATTCCTATAGCATTAGTGATACTTTAATCCGATAAAAGTTTTAATCCGGAACAACGTGTGGGTGATATTACCTTATGAATTCGAAAGTATTTACGTTATTATAAACATAAAAAAACTCCACTTCTGAAATGTCGAACATATATTTTAATATAGCACAAAATCTCGAATTAAAAAAATATTATTTAGCTTGAAAAATTTGAAAATAAAACAAAATTTTAAATTTATTTTATAAATTATTAAAAATCAGAATTTAAAATGTCACAATTTAAAATTTATTTTAATGTATTTTCGCTTCTCAATTAGCAAATGTCACATTTAACCTTTATTCCAACTTTATGGGTGGATCTGACACATTTCTACTTTATTCTTGATATTTCTATTATATTTTTGCTAATAATAAATCATAGGAAATTACTACAAATGAAACAAAATTGTCATGCAAATTAATCGGTTTTCTTTTTTAAAATAATTTAATTTTTTTCCAATATTTTCAGAATTACATATGCTATACTTCGCTTTGAAAATACATAATTCATAATTTAGAATCTTTAAAAAAGTCATTACTTAAAATATTTTTTTACTATTAATTAACAGTTTCACGATCATTTCGGCGCAAAAACTGATGATCCAAGATATCGTCCACCAGATCCATGGTTTACTGACAGTGGTAGCAGCGCTAGTTCGACTCCCACTGATGATGGTCCCTTTCTTCAGTGTGCTTTGTGCCACGATCGCTATAATAAACCTAAGGTTTGTGATTAAAAGTGAATGAAATACACAATTTTTTTTACCAAAATAAAAATTTAAATAATGATATTTTCTAGGTTTTGCCATGTCTCCACACTTTCTGTCAAGGTTGTCTATTGCAACAAACACCTAAAGATAGTTTAACACTAACTTGTCCCATATGTCGTCATCAGTCTATTCTTCCACGCAATGGAGTATTTGGCTTACAGGATAATGTTATTGTATCCAATTTTGTTAATTTATTAGAGATGCCGAAAACGGAAGAACTTCACCCCATAGTTCGAGTTAAAAATTATTCTGAAAAGAAAACCATTGAATTACCCCCTATCGAAGAGAGCGCAGTTGAACAGAAAAGTCATCTTAAAAATCTTCTAACGAAGGTCTCTTTGCGAATACCAATCCTAAAAGAGGATATTCAGAATATTTCATTAGTTGTAAGTCAATTAAAAGAGAATCATCTTGAAACTAAATCTAAAATGTTGCATTGTCTGGAAGATCTAGAAAATACTCTAAAAGAAAGAAAAATTGAATTGGTTGAAGAATTAGATCGTGTTCATCAAGAGAAGTTTAAAGTTCTACAAGAACAAAAACATGTTTTAGAAATGTGCCTTTTAAATCTTGAAGACCATTGTCAGTATACCGAAGATGTCTTGAACAGAGGAAGCGATGAAGAATTAAATATTCTTTATTACGATTTGGCAGAAAAATTAGAAGATTTCGTAGCTACAAATTTACAAAATGAGCCCAAGGAAAATGTCTTTTTGGTTTGCGATAATAATGGCATCGAAGAAGTAGAAAATAAATTGAAAAGCTTAGAAGTAGTGAAAACATGTAAAGCCTCACCTAGTGAGTCATCTCTAAAAGCTGAGCAATCCATGGAATGCAAAATGGGAGATTCTCTATCGTGGACTTTAATCATAAGAGATGGAAATGGTTCACCGATGATAGTCGAAGATTCAGCTAAAAAAATTGTCTTGACTAATTCTGATCAAGAAGAATTTGAAGTGAAAATTATAGAAAATGAAAATAAAAGTTATACCATCAATTGGACTGCAATCCCGAAAGGGACATACACATTAATAACTAAACTCTATGGTCAGCATGTTACAGGCAGTCCACAATTAATTACGTGTAAAGGAATGGAAAAAGAACCACAAAACGATACAAAAAGAGAAAAATGCAAGATAATGACGGAGGAAGATGCCAATCTTTATGATCATCGTGTCGTAGAAAGTTCACAATTGATCCCTGTTTCAGATATAAAAGAAGAAGAACAAAACTACGATGAAGTTAGTTCATGTGAACATTTTGATGGTCAGGTAGATAATGATCTTTTAATGAAAATTGGAAGAAGAGGGCGGTCCAAAGGGGAGTTTACTAATCTGCAAGGTGTTTGTTGCACCAAAGAGGGAAGGATCATTGCTTCCGATAGCAATAATCAATGCGTCCAGGTGTTTGATAAAAATGGTAAATTTCTAATCAGATTTGGTGGGAGAGGTCGTGGTCCAGGTCAAATGCAAAGACCAACTGGAATTACCATTTCTCCAAATGGCAATTATTTAGTTGCTGATTATGAACTTAGAGTCGTTAACGTTTTCAAACCGGAAGGACAATATTGCAGACGTTTCGGAAGTGGAAAACTATTGGGTCCTAGAGGATTGCTCTTTACTAAAGATGGGAAACTACTCGTAGTAGACAGTAAAGCTAATTGTATTTATGTTATGCAGGATAGTAAGATTTTAGGAAAAATTGGGTCACCCGGCAGCGGTAAAGGCAGATTTTCCGGTCCTCATTATATTGCATTAGATAGTCTCAATCGCGTGATTGTTACCGATTTCCATAATCATAGCGTTCATATATATACATTGGACGGAAATCACGTGACAACTTTCGGTTCAAAAGGAGAAGGAAATGGCCAGTTTAACGCTCCAACAGGAATTGCTGTAGATTCTCAAGATAATATTATAGTTGCAGATTGGGGAAACAATAGAGTACAGGTAAGAATCATGAGTTATTTATACAGATTTAAACAGAAATTCTGCACTGTGTTTTGTACAATTTTCTTTACAGATTTTCGATAGCAATGGATCGTTTCTCTCGTTCATTAATACCAGCACCGATCCATTGTATGGTCCTCAAGATTTAGCATTGACTCCTGAAGGGTATATCATAGTAGCTGATTCTGGTAGCTACTGTTTAAAAATCTACAAATATCTTCAATAAAATGGTATCATTATATAAATTTAAATTAAACAATCTTACAAAAGTGATATCTAATAAAAATTCGATTTACTTTTTTATAGTCTTGAAGATTTTCAGTGAGATTTTCGTCTGCTTTCGCCAGAAATTTCATCCCTTCTAAACAGACCCTAAGCTAGCGTGAAGCTTTAATGTGATCTCAGAATCTCATTTATCATTGAAAAAGCCAAGATCTCCTATTTATTATACACGCATAATTATAAAATTGAAGTTTCCTTTTTATTTCTAGTCTTTATTTTCTGTCTGTAATCATCGTAGTCTTTATACTATGACGTTAATAACTTTTATAATTAACATCGATTAACAAGGAGATATTCAAAAATTAACTTGAATATAGTCATATTAATACAAAAATTCTAATTGAATGTTTAATATAATCAACAAAAAATTTAAAATTAAAGTAATTCAACAGTGTAATTGCCTTCTTAAGATCTCTTTACGAAAATCATTAAGGAAATTCTTAATAATTTTAGAAAAAATGACAAGGATATTGTTATAAATGAAGGAAGAGTAATGTTAACAGCTAATATATTGTTATAAAAAGTATACCAATTTTATACAAGAGGTAAGATTATAAGAATTATATAATGAAGTTTATTACAAGTTTTTTCTTCAGGGAAACATTTCAGTAGTTCATCCAAAATTGGAATTATATGATAACTATTTGCTCAATTGAGTAAATTAACACGCATAATGATAAAATTAATACTAACTTTCGCAGCTATGTAATCAATTCTATTAATTGTAACTTGAACGATGACGTATATTTCTACGAAATTACTTTTTATAACAGTTAAGTTTAATAGTATTTTTCCTATTAATTCACGTTTCACTCCTATTACAAGGCGTTGCAGAAAATCGCCCTCTGATAACGGCTCGATTAATATACAGTTCCGGCAGTAGACTTGACACCCAACATCGAATAAACATCCTCTATATTGTGAACAATAAGCGTAATTCATATTGTTCTCTTCTGATTTATCAGTTTAGATCCTATATAACATTACTAAATTTCGTGTCTGTAAAAATACCTAACTGTGCGTGACGTGTGTGGGTGTCAATCGTCATACTTACGTGAAATCAACCCTGTCATAAATAGACTTTTTTTAAATTTTATTTTGGCTCCTCCCATGCTTTTCTCGTGTTGCATATGAGAAATACATCAGTATTAATCTTTTATATATACTAAATTTTCATAAAACTGAAGCCACATTTATCATTAAGAGAGTGTCGTATAGAAATGGAATTTATTCATAATTAAATAAGTTATTTTTGGGATATCTCTTTATAATCTTCAGATTTTAACAACAATTTTTATATTATACTAAAGAATATATCGTGAAATTATAAATAAATGTATATTTGGAACCATTTACAGTATCATTAATTTTGTATGACTTCTTATAACATCGATTAATACAATTGGATATTGTGGAATAAACGACTTTCTAATAAAATAATATATTAACTGAAATTAAATAAAATGTACTCGGAAACAAATTGTATAATAAAAATATTTAAAGTATAAATTGCCTTTATAATTTTTTTAAAAAAACATTAAATCGTGTATTTGTAAACAAGTCTTTGGCTCTAAGCAAAATGAAAGATTTAGGACAATCTGAATTGACATAATCAAAAAAATGGTCTGAGAGAATCCTTCAATGACCTGCTGACTAGATACAACGACAGAGAAACTGGCATAACTATGTTAAAATAATTAATTATGAGCGCCTCAATTGTCCTCAGAAGGATTAAGGGGAAGAAGGGGAAGAAATACCATAATAAAACAATATTATACAGTATACTAAATACAGTCGACCCCCCTATAACACTGTTGATTATTCCATTTTATATGAATTCCATGTTGTAACGAGTCACTTAGATTTTACAAATACGTGTGCCGGGCTGTGAACGGCTCACGTATTTGTAAAATCTAAGTGACTCGTACAACATGGAATTCATATAAAACGGAATTATCAACAGTGTTATAGGGGGGTCGACTGTACAGTATAATCCCCGAATAGCGGACACCGTCGGGACAGAGAATTTTGTCCGCTATTTAGAGGAAAATATAAAGGGTGTCTTATTTGAAGGGTCAGGAGTTTTCCATTAAATGAATGGAGGTTTCGCTGTATATTTCTTATATTTTTTATAATAAACTTTATTTCTTCCTTCTTCAAAATTTAATACTGAAAACATTTTAAAGTTTATTTTAAATAAATTTCTTTATCGATTTGTTAATGCTTTTAATATAAAATGAAAATCTACTTTGAATAGTTTTAAAACTAAAATAAATAAATAAATAAAAATCAGGATTTTGTGTTGTTAATAATTAACTACGTTATTTACAACATCCGGATGATTAAATTTTTAAGAAGTTAAAAAGTACTTCTGTTTGATGTTCTGTACAGAAGTGCAGAGAATTATAAAGAAGCAATTTTTAATTAATGAACTATTCAAATTCTCTTTATTTTATAAAATATAAACTACTAATAAACAGGACCACATTAACACACCAGCATGATTGTGGTTGTAGCTTTCTAGGACCTCGTCTCACTACTCAATATTACCATTTTTGTAGTATATCGGTATCTGTATAATATCTCTGAAGTAATTGAATAGGATCAGCGCTTAAAACGTCCCTGCGAGTAAAAATATTAAAATCGTAATATTAATATAGTAACTTCCTTTATCCGAGGGGGCTCGTTCCAAGACATCAGTGGACGCTTGAAACTATGGATACACTATACTTGTCTATAGATACATGCTTTATAAAATAGGCACAGTAGGAGCAAACAACAACAATAAACTAACACATACAAGGCAAACAACAAATAACTAATAATAAAATAGAACAATTATAACAATAGAATGTACTGTACTGTAATAAAAGTAATCTGAATATGTCCTCAGCATGCAAAGTTTTTAACCGTTTTTAAGTCAAGAACTTTGACCCTTTTTCTTACAGGAAGCTTCCCTTTTTGAATACTCTTTGGCATATCCGAATTGCCAGCATTACTATTCTTGCGCTTTGGAGCTATTATTAAGTAAAGGGTTACTTGAACACGGGTTACCGCGACAGTCGATCTGATAACCGAGACGGCTACTAAATGACTAATAGGCGGGTTTCATATACAACGTGAATGCTCTGGTCAAAGGGATGAGTCACGTCACGGGCGGAACGGAGCGAAATGGAGCGAGATTTCATCATGCTAGTCAGAACGGCGCGTAATTTAAAACCTATGAATTGCTTATTTCTTCAGTTTTCCTTTTAATCATTTTGTAAATAAGTCATGAACTATCGAATATTAGATACATTCAGTGGTGGTGTAGGTTATGAGAGGCCCTAGTAAAATCCATGGCTTCGCACAACGTACATGTATCGTACGTATAATACAGTTTATTCTTATCATATCTATTAAAATATGCTTTATAATGTAAAACCCGTATTATACATTATAGTAATGTATGTGAATACAATATAAATCTCATAATCCCCCAATACTTGATATTATACAAGATAGCTAGTGCTAAACCATGATCGAGTATTGACAAATATATTCTACGTTTTGCACGTATCTGAAGCTCCTAAACGTGTGAGGTCTCAGGTGTTAGGTGCCTCCTTCTAGAACAACACTGCTTGAATCTTATGTGTTTCTAAAACTGTAACTAAATTCTCATATCTGATATGAAAACGTTCTAAATTTAAACTAAAACATGGCATTAAAAATGATGTCATACATCAAAAATATACCGATTGATACTTAAGTAAAATAGGAAATTTGACATGTACTCAATTCTTGATAATTTATAAGTGTCTTAGAAAAGTATTTGTATTGAGAATTTATAAACTCAATCGTTTTAAGATTAAAAAACAGCTTATTTCTAGATTGATAACTGTAACATGAATAATTTGATTATGTAATTTTTATACAGTACTGTACTCTAATTTTAGGTATGTAGGTATAAATATTTCAATATATTTCTCCTGGTTAATCGTGATAATATATATATATCGTATATCCAAATAGTAAAGCCTATATAATTTTTTTATACAGTATGTATTACCGTAAACCCTCTCTTGCTTTTATATTAATATTTTATATTAAAAAATAATACAGTTGGTGAAAAATTTGTTTTTATTTGTTATATTAATTTAATTAAAAAATTTTATGATTTTCGGAGAAGAACAAAGCTATATTAAACTACTTTTTAAATAAATTACGTTTAGATTTATTATAGAATTTTATAATAATTCTATAATAATTTTAGTTTAATTAATTAACATTACTTATTGTATTTTATCTGTTAATACATGATGTAGATAACGAACAATTATTATTGTAGTATAATAATAATAATAATAATACTCGCACTATGCAGTAACATAATTTATGATTTTAAATAATTTGCTAATTAAAATACAGTACTTCTGTATAGGGTTGTACTGTATATTTTCAAATATGGTGGCGCCATCTAGAAGTTAATTTAATTATGAATCTTTTTTTTTTTTTTTTTTTTCTGTAGCCCTCTGTTTCAATTTTACGAGATTTGAAATTCAAAATTTAATTATTTTTATTTTTATATTATCATCTACTATATCGAGTGCGTACTATTGTATATACGTAGTAATGAATAATAATATTGTTCACTATATAGGGTGGTTTCTATGTTAAGAATTTATAGGGAAAATTCCATTTTAAATCAAAAATATTTATAAAATATTCTCTCACAATCTTCTTATTTGAATAGTTATTATTTTGATGACTAGTCTCGGTTTTTATTTTAATTTTACTTTTTGATTTACCGTAATTAAGGTTTTTCCATATCATTCATTATAAAATAGTGATTTCTAGTTTTTTCCAAGCATTATAACTATATTTATTTTGGTGTGTTTGTGTTCTATTTGATACTTATTTGAAAGTTATTAAATCACGATAAAATTCAATTAATTTGGGCTCTACTTTCATTTTTCCTGAAAGAATAATCATGCCCATCGACATTGATAACTTTCTTATAAGAATTATTATTATTATTATTATTATATGAAATTATTATAGAAATTAGAAAGAAGATATAGTATTTTGTCTATAAAATACATGTCAGTGGCAATCCATTCTCCTGCACGTACTGTATTCCTCCCTCAATCCATATTACGTATTGGTTTCTTGTAATCATATGATTAAATCTAGAATTTAACTCGTTAGAAAAGAATATTTAAAGGATAATAACTGTAACAATTTACATCCAAAAGGTAGTTAATTAAAATAATATATATCATTTTATTACACATGTAATATTATTTTATTTGTAAGGCTTGGAAGTTTTCTATTTATCCAATAAAACTTAAAACACTGCATTTAAAAATTCTGTGTTTTTGCAATTTATGTTTTTATGTAATTACGAATTTAACTTAAAATACTGTATATAAAATATTTTCGACAGGCAACAGAAAAATTTAGGTTTTACTCAAATCCAATATTTAAGGTGCCAGTACGACATATTGTATAGTAAATTCCAACAAATGACATTATTTTTATTATTCCATTCTTTTAAAGTACATTATTAAATTTAAATTCATATGAATATCGAGATAATTTAAATCTAAGAAATTTGTTAAACCAGTTTTGCCATGCTCTTTAATCATGCTTTTTAATCTAAAGATAATAGATACAATGCACGACTATACTGTGTTTCGATTGTCTAGAACTCGAAGACGTTAATGAACCCGTTATTACACAAAATCAACACTTACAATAATTCGTGACAATACGATATTTACTGTATTTTTCAGGCATCTGTATAGGCCTATACTGTATACGATTCATGAAAGATACACGTGCTCCAAGTATGAGAAACCTGATTTTTTGCTAAATTGGCCCATGGAAATAAATATATCAATCACATTACTGAACACAAAACACGAATGGAAGCTCTTGAAGCACGTGTTTCAACAAATTCCAGGCTTACAGTGGTCAAGTGGATAAGACTATTGAACACTGGTTGTTGGTCGCGAGTTTGCGCCTTAGCTGACCACGTGGAGTTTTGCGGATTTTCTTTGCGTATCTAACACCTAAATAGGGCAAGTTTCCTATTGAAAATCCTCTCGGGATGCACCCCTTCTTAGCAGATAGCCCGTGCGTTTCGTTGCCATATCCTATCAAACTAAACCAACCAAATTTCGATTGGAGGAATTCTAGGATGACAGATTATTATCGGATTTATTAACAAACTTCTATACAGGGTGTCCCAAAAGTTTCCATATATACAAAGGTGAAATGTGATTTTATTCACGAAACATTAAAATATAAAAATGTCAGCATTAAGATTTGTGTCAGTGAATTGACGGAGTAAGGCGACGAAATACGTGGGTGATCTTCCAATGGGGTAGCTTCTAGCAGAGGACTTCCTATGTGGAAACTGGATTCTGTTTAGGTGTTAGACAAATGAAGAAAATCCAGAACACTGCATGGTGGCCAATAAACAATCTTACTCTGTTTCTTATTTTCGATAAACTTGAAACCACTGCCTGTGTTTCCTTTTCTGACATACAGTATGGACCTACATAATCAAATGAAAATTTGTAGCGTGAAACTTTGATGCTAATGGTATAAATTTTCTTTTACACATTATTTATAGATAAAGATTAAAAGTGTGCCTTTCTAATTTAAGAATAAAACAACAACAATTTACCCAGAGTACTACTCCATCCATAGCAAAAATTCCTGCTGAAATCAATCCTTTCGTCGCGTCGTGTGCTTAACTTTTAGAACGATTCTTTCTCCAATAACGCTAAAATTATAAATTTAAAATCAATACAATTATAAAAATTCCATTACATTACTTCTAAAATGTAATTTTAATACTTGCATTGTTTGTAAATGTATAACGATATCCATCATGATTAACAAGGAGCATAATGTACCAATGACACGCCCATGTCAGTTATGAACTGCGTTAAAATCTGTGGAATAATACAATCTTATTAAAATTTAAGCTATATCAATTGTAAAAATGAATATACGTCAGGAAAATTTAATAAAATATTTATTGATATTCATCTTATAGCCAACGTATCAGTCATAATTTCCTCTCGTTTATCCGGAATGAACGAGGAAAATGTCATTTTGTGGGGGCCGAAAGGGGAGAAAAATTAAAAAACTCAATGAACGATAATATGTGATATATATCGTCATCGTCTCCCTTGCCGTCTGGATTGCCGAGCGGTAACAATCAACATGTGGAAGCAGTTGAGTCAGAGATAGATGCTTCGTTTACAAACAACACAACCGTTTATTAAACACGAAAGAAGCTTACAAGATTTCCGCGATCTTGGAAGTTCTGCGGCGGCTGAGGCCTCTGGGTCTTCCTCTCCTTTCCAAGATAGTCCCATTTTGAAGGAGTGTCCCTTGTTCGCGAATGAACCATTCCATCACGTCTTGATGACTCCGGGACGATGCGGTCGACTTCCGTTGATGGAAAGATGTCGATCCGAGGTCGGGAGATGGAGACGAAGATGGGTGCGAGACACAAACACAACAACAGGTCCGTCACTTGGAACTTTCGGGAGAAGAAGCCCTCGCGTCCTCGAATTTCCGGGTTTTTATCCGTTTTCTCTCAGATTCCCCTTTCCGATTGGTCTCTCCTCGTCACCTGATAACAATTCGAAATCTTTCGGGGACGCGGGAGAGGTCAAAATCGAAGTTTAATTTGATCTCCAACCGGAAATGGTCGACGGACTTACATTCTTCTATTGTTTAAAAGTTAGCGTCGCGTTTTCATAAAATAAAAATCTATTTCTAACTAATATATTATTTTCTCTAAAACAATTATTTTAACGCGAATTTTAGTGAGGGTTCGGACCTGTCCAGAGCCTCACAATTTCGGTTAATTCGGTACCATATAAAACCTGTATTCAATAAATAAAACAGTTAAATTTTCAAAGAAACTTAAAAAGAAGAACGAAAACTTAGACACAAACAAAGTGTATCATTCTCCTTCCCTTCCTCCTCTAAAGCTAATAAGCCATAAAGTTATTTGTTATGAATGAATGACTCATCCATGAACATTTTTAGAATCCCTGTTAATCCGATATAGGTTAAGAAATCCCGCATAATCGAGAGTCTGCTGCACAAAATAAAGGATTCAACATGTAATTCTAGTGGAGTAATGTTGATTCACTAAAAACTTCAAATTTATAGGGCCAGTTTTTTTTTACTACTTAAAGGAATCAGTGGATAAAAGAGTAAATATTTATTCAGAGACAAGGTTTTATCTTTCCTCTTTTCCAGTATAACACACTAAAAGTAAAAAAAAAAAAGGATACTGAAATCGAAACTTGACTCTACTATTGCTAATCCGCTTTAATTTGGCAATTGAATAAATGATCGAAAAATTTGTAAATCTGAAATAATTAATATCATTAAAATATTTTAATTAAAATAATAAAATATTTCATTCCTTACTTCGTTATATGGACTATAACTAATGAAAAATGATTTTATGGTTCTTTTTTGACGCGTATATTTGTCACATTCATCTAATTCTTTACGTTCTTCAACTACTTTTTAAATAAATTACGTTTAGATTTATTATAGAATTTTATAATAATTCTATAATAATTTTAGTTTAATTAATTAACATTACTTATTGTATTTTATCTGTTAATACATGATGTAGATAACGAACAATTATTATTGTAGTATAATAATAATAATAATAATACTCGCACTATGCAGTAACATAATTTATGATTTTAAATAATTTGCTAATTAAAATACAGTACTTCTGTATAGGGTTGTACTGTATATTTTCAAATATGGTGGCGCCATCTAGAAGTTAATTTAATTATGAATCTTTAATTTTTTTTTTTTTTTTTGTAGCCCTCTGTTTCAATTTTACGGATGATTTGAAATTCAAAATTTAATTATTTTTATTTTTATATTATCATCTNGAATAAATGATCGAAAAATTTGTAAATCTGAAATAATTAATATCATTAAAATATTTTAATTAAAATAATAAAATATTTCATTCCTTACTTCGTTATATGGACTATAACTAATGAAAAATGATTTTATGGTTCTTTTTTGACGCGTATATTTGTCACATTCATCTAATTCTTTACGTTCTTCGTCAATCAATCTAACAATATAATTTTCTAGCATTACAATGTGTTGTAATCTGAATTTTGTTCTCGAAATGCTTGTTATAAGGAGAATTCTATATATATGGAATAACAACAAATGATAATTTCTTCGCAATTACATCGTAAACCGTTTATAATATAGTGTAGTTTGTCGTGCCTTTGCGCAAAATACGTATTGTAAACGTCAGAAATCTGTAGTTAGGTGATAAAAAGTAGTTCAGTGTACTTTTAGACTCAGCATAGTTCAAACATATAACATACTCATAATGATTATTCTTAAATTTCAGTATTTAAACAATAATGCCATCTAAATAATAATGATATTTAAGGTATTATTGTAACTTTACTATTCTTACAAATAAAAGAATTTGTACAAGTTAAATAGCATAAAAGAAACGCAGAAAATGGTTCAAAAATATCCCATTTTCTCACACTCTTGTATTTTAACTTAGCTTTGGTTACGACTGAAGTGCTTAAAGATAAAAATTTATCTACATCCATCTATAAATAAATATGTTTGTTTAAATCTAAGTTAGGCTTCTCAATACAAAAATAAAAATAATAATAATAATAATTACAAGTCTAAATAGTATATTTTTATTTTAAAAACTTAATTTTCAATGAAAATAGATGGAATCTAATAAAAGAAAAATTTATCTCTCAGAAAAGATGTCTAGTAGAAGGTCGCATCTATACAAAAGGTGTTTGTATTCCGTGATTTATTCACTCCATATTTGAAACTATTGCTATAGAATATTACAATATGCATACGTTAGTGAGATTTCTATTTCTACTACAGAAACATTACGTGTAAATATTCATTTTCATAATTCTCTGTTACATTAAACATGTTTACAGAGTTTTGTTGCAAATGGTAAATTGCCAAAGTTACATTCATCATGGCAAAAAAATTAAATGATCAAATGGTTAATGAAGATTATTATTGTCTATTTTTCTGAATTTTGCACATAAAATACCCGAAGAACTTTGCGCCCGAAGAACTTTGTGATGATATCGAACATGAAATGCACAATACGTATGACAATGAAACAGGTGTGGAAAAGTGCGGGCCGAACACTTGAACTACTGAGCAATCGAGCACATATCAAATATATAAGAGCAAGTCTAAAGGTACTCCATAAGCAAGTTACAGTGAGTTTCATTTTCGTCAACAATTTTTTATCCACTCCTATCGAACTTTAAAGGAGAATATCACATACAAAACGTAAGTATTTCGACTTATTTATTGATTGTGTTATTGGAAAAGATAGTCTGTATATCGTAGAATTTCTATTTGTCTCTATATGAGATGCCCTCTAACTTTATAACATTTCTTTGATCAAAACTAAATTCATTTTTATTTCTCGCTTATCTTTATGTCTATTCGTTATCTAACATCTTTATAATTTTTACTCTTGAATAATTAAAACGATATATTTATTTACATGCCATTTTTTATTTTCTATAAATTTTTTACTCTTGTAAAATATCATAAGCAAGAGATTGAACACCTTTCCAGGTTTCTTCTCCGACAGGTATAATATATTTCTTGTTTAATTGAAATCCACGTTTTCCTTTATCTCTCAGTTCGAACACAAAAGAATGTTTAATGCCAAAATGGCCGTATGCCCAATCGATTGAATTTCCGGGAGCAGGATCTAAAAAAATACAAATATATACTCTATAAAATGTAATAAGCTTATTAACAATATTCTAATTAACACTTACACACAATTTTTATTAAACTATTAGTTTTATATTCTGTTCCGTAAAGCTCCTCAATTCCTTCAGCAGCGTGTTCGCCCATATTTTTCTATAATTATATTTAGCATATACATAAAAAGCGATTATTAGAATTAAATTTAAAAAAAAAAAACTTACAAGGCCATCATAATCTTTAATGTTTTCTGTCTTACAACCCCACGGAAAGATAATATATTGCCCATAAGAATGTAAAGATAAGAAGAGTTTCACTCTTGAATTTATGTTTCTTAAACTGTTAAATATCGCCTGAGTTTCTATCTCTGACATTGGAAAAGGTCCTATATAATCAAGTGATTTCGGTTTCCGTGCATTCGGCCGTGCTAAATTATGGAACTTTTTCTTAATAAAATAATTATTTTTATATATTAATCAATCAAATTTATAATATAATACTTAAGCTATTGTTCCATTCGTATGGAAAATTTCGATTCAGATCTACTCCTTTCTTATGTAATGGACTTTTAGAACGATTCTTTCGCCAAAATCGCTAAATAAATAAATTAATATTAACAACAAATTTAAGTTACATTTTACATGAAACTAATGCTTATATATCGGTGGCCGATATACACTAAAAGACACAAGAAAAATATATAGTAGACCCCCCTATAATACTGTAAATAATTCTGTGTTATATGAATTCCATGTTGTACGAGTCACTTAGATTTTACAAATACGTGAGCCGCTCACAGCCCGGCACACGTATTTGTAAAATCTAAGTGACTCGTACAACATGGAATTCATATAACACGGAATTATCTACAGTGTTGTAGGGGAGGGTCTACTGTAATATATGTTTGAACAATTCAATATAAATTTATATTAGCTTTATTTTATATTCTTGACATTATTTAAGCACTTATTTATTTATATTAGCCACTACTAATATAGATCAAAGCATTATTCTATTTATTTCATAATTTTTCTTATTAGAATCAATACGAAAAATTAACACTTACCTTCTTTCTAAAGGTGTAATCGTAACCATCAGGATTGACGAGAGGCATAATATACCAATCATAAGATTTCATTAAATGAGTTATATGTTTATTAGTTCCATATTCTGTTAAAAGCTATGAAATCATATTTTTTTTTTTTACTAGTTATTATTTATATAATTTAAAATTTAACAAAATAATATATTCAATTATAACAATTCATTAATTGTACTTTAATTTAAATTAATTCACAGTTCTAACAAAAACTCAACACGATATAGTTCTCAAAGTTTTCCAAAGTTTATCAATCAAACGCTTTTTACCTATGTAAAAATGATTAATTTTTCACAAAAATATAATAATATTAAGACACAAAATACATTTGCTATAATAATAACAAACAATACGATGAAAATGTATTAAAAATATTCATAATTTGAAAGCAATCACAAAATTTGGAGTATGAAAGTCGGATGGAAGTCGTATCTTACGGGTAATTTCCAATAATCTTAATTAATTGTAACAATTGATTTTCATTGTTTGGACGTTCAATAAAGAAAACATTAATATTATAAATGTAAGGAAGATCTTTGAGATGAATCCGAAAATTCAGGTTACAAACTATCCTAAGCGGGAACAAAGATGGAAGTATATTAAAAATGTTTCGATCTTTCTTCCAGAATAAAATAATAGAAAGTGTTTGGGAATATCTGCATAATATTTGGAGTGCATTCGAATATAAGATAGAATGGAAAAAACGCATAGAAATTGTATTAACTGCTAAAGAAAAATTCATCAAAGAAGTGTGCAAAGAAGTGAGATGGACAATTAATTTCGTCGGAGAATATTTGAAAATAATTATGTTTTATAATAGATAATTTGATTTATGTACCTTTAAAATTCTATTGCTAATTAAAACTATTATTTAAATTCATTTTGTTTGAATTATTTTAGTTTGATTTAAATTTTATATGTATTTATTTATTCGTGAAATTCAATCGAAGTCCAGGATCAATTTGTTCGGTCACAAAATAAATATAATTTATTTTATTAATTTCGTAAAAATATTTTATAATACTATGTAATAATAATTGTAATATTTCGTAAAAGTTTTTATAAATATAATTTACTATATTTATTTTGTGCTTATTTAGTTTTTTATTAGTCTACTTTATTGTAAAATAAATTTCGGATATAAAAGAGACAAAAGTACATAATCTAAAGTCAACTAATACTAAAATTTATTGTTAGGAGGAGCCTAAAACTATTAATACTTTTTCAGCAATAAAACTGAAGTAACAAACGGATTGTAGACTTTAAATTTTTATGTCATTTCTACCATTTATTTTATAAATGTATTAAATAATTTGCAAATGAACATTTTAGCATTTTTGTACAGCTGAATATAATGTTGTTGCCTGGAAAGTTATAATTAAATTAGTAAAAAGTTTTTTTTTTTTTACTTTGTAAATAAAGTAGATAGCAGTCGCAGGTGTTATCCATTCTCTAGCGTGTATACCTCCATCGATCCAAATGATTGGTTTTCTTAATCTAGGCATGGCTTTAACCTAAAATTAAAAATTAAAATATAATAAAAAAGAATCTTATGATTAGCTTTTAAAAAGCCTGAATATATAATATATAATTTTCTTTCTTGTATCAGTTTTAATGTTCTGTTACGATAAGTAACGCCAACATCGTTTATTTTCATCAGTTCACTATAATGACTTCTCAATTCATCCAGAAATTCATAAATCTGTCAAATTTAAAATAATTAACCAATTAATTCTTAATATTTATACTTTAACACTTAATATTTCATCATCATTTACTTGTACCGAAGTTCGATACTTATCAAAGAACGAAATTAAAGATCTTTTTCGACGGGATGAGGTTTCAGAATTGTTTAATTCTTCACGCTCTTTTTCCACCATTCTGAAAAAAATATATTGAATTTCAAATGTCTTAAACGTATTCAAAATTTACATTTTTATCGTGATTTATTATTAAAAGCATCATTTATAAAGAAAGATGCAATCAAAACACCGTTAAAGTTACCTTTGTACATCGTGTATGAGAATGAAAAATTCAATATTATTTTGAATTAAAGTGTCTTTAATTATTTGTAATTTTTGTGGGGGAACCATCACGTCGATTGACTTATTTATCAATCCTGGTTCTGTCCAAAAATCTAACTGTTAGAATATAAAACAGACAAGTTTAGTGAGACTTCAACGTAACAAAAAATTAATATAAATACGTTTTAACTTACTTCATCGTCATCAATATCTCGAATTAATTCAAGATTTTGTACTGTCGAAGGTATAATACGAAGGACAGAATATCTAATAATTATAGTTTCTAATTTAAAAGCAGCTTTTAAGCTTTTAGCTTCTTAGATAATTAAAAAAAATTACAATAAGAAACTAATTTACCCATCATATCTGTCTGGGAAACTGTCATCATCATCCTCATCCTCATCATCGTAGAGAGTTTCATCAGCAACAGCAGACAGGAAAAGTATTATTATAAATATATACTTTCGATTCATCGTGAAATAGAATCTGTGAAAATAAATTACGATTTTAAAACATATAATAAAATGTATAAAAACTAATTGACAATAATTTACTAATTGTAATTTATTTCCTAAAAATTAATATTTAAAATGAAAATATCTCCTGTTAAAAATTACATCTTACATTATTTAATGTATTAAGATTTAAAAGCAAACTTTGTTATATTAACTTTCTGTAGGCCTGTATTAGGGTTTCCCACGGGTCGATATTGACCCCTCAGAGGCTTGTGAAAGTTTGAGAATGGTCAATAAAACTCTGAAAATATAAAAAAAAAAAAGTCCAGTAAAGAGTTGCTTAATTTTCCCGGCAACAGTTTGTGGCACCATCTGTTATCATATTTTATTTTTAAAATTTTTTATATTTTTAACTATTATAAAATGGCAAAAAGCTTAATTTTGAGGATAGGGGTGGGTTTTATAAAAATTGTAAATACTAATAACGAGTAAAATCGTCATTATGTCCGACCCTACTGGAGATACACACGACCCTCCCTTTATCTTCCCACCCCTCGACCTGTAATTACCAAAACTTAATAGATCAATCCCCCTAATACACAAAACTCTTTATAAAATTTTAGAAATTTTGGACAAAAAGCACAGGAGTTATTAAGCTTCAAAGAGTGAGTGTGAACAAAATCGTACCCTCCACACACATTCATACATACATACTGGAAAAAACTCTGCATCTTTTGCATTTCTCGATGTTTGGAGGTCCCCTGAATCCAAAAAAAAGTAAAAATCTTGGAGGAAGGATCATTGTTTGACCGATCGCCATACTATCCTTCTGTTATATATAACAGCAAAGAAAGTAAAATATGTATTAAAAATTTTACATAACGTTTCGCTTTCAAATAAATTTGGGAAGATGCCTTTTTAAAATTATGTATGAGAACTGTTGTACATATACATGATATATTGTATATTATATAATAGTCCTATATAGTACTATGTAGTATAGTAATTGAAGAAGGGGTATCCGCTGTGGCCAAAGTTCGTTAATTAAACCGAATGTAACCTATTTTATAAAACATACACTATATCTATAATGAATTTAAAACGTATTAGGACTTACTAAAATGTATAAGTATGAATAAAATATTGTTATAATATACATTTAACAATTTACCCACTCTTTTAGCGTGCTGTATTCGCGTATAATAAACAAAAAAGATTATAAATTTTTTCCGTAGGAGGAAATTTTTTGTTCGTAAAATCGAGAGCATATTGTACAGTACATCATTATATAATGCTTTAGTGATCTCGTATATGGTTGTTTTAGTTAGAACTTTTTAATCGAGTGTATTTAAAGCACTAATCGAGATGGTGCATGGTGAATTTGTATTCGAATACCGAATTGTTCGAGTATCGAGATACCGCCGTGTTGTACGAGGTATACCTGTATGTTATTTTATAATAGGCGCATATTTCTTCAAAAGAAAATTGTGAGATTAAATTAGAATACTGTATTTGTTTCTTATTTTTAATAAATTCAATATTAATATTAAAATTACGAATTTATAAAATAATTATTTGTTAAATACTGAAAGTGTTTTTTTTTTATTTTTATTTTTTGTTTAAATCATATTTATTACAAAATATTTAATAAAATCTATAAAATTATATATAATGCAATATATTTATATAGGAAAGATATATCAAGAAAGCGTACAGAAGAGAAATTATAAACTAGACACTAATAATTAATTAAATGTAAAAACTACGTAAATTATTGATATTACACATGCCAATCAAATGCATATTTACAAAAATAAACTTAATAAACTTACTTAAACTATCCACAGTGGAGAACTTTACAAACAGACTTTCTTAATTCGGAAATAATTCTAAGAGTACTTTCTTTGTTCTTTACAGTTGGCCTGACCATGTGTTACCTCCTGCAGTTGTTTATTTTACTTCTTAACCCGAACCCCCTCGGGAATTACTACTCCGAATAACGTTATCTATAAATAGATTCATTCTATCCTTGTGTTTATAGAAACGACTACGAATACTGAACCATCTCAAAAATTGTATATTTTAATATAATTTTGCACTTGTCTGAATTTATTTTTCCTGTCAAAATATGTAGACTTCAAAGTAAGATTAAAGAAAAAAAATCAAAGATTATACGTAATCAAATTCAAATAAATAAATTGGGTGTTTCAAATACGCGATTTATTTATCATAAAATGGGCCTGCATTACGTCTNAAATCTTACTAATTTTGGGGTGAGAAAATCGAATATGACAAAGAAAAATTTTCATTAGCTCTAGTTTCTGTGATATACAATAGGTGGCAGTATGTGATTTTAACGGCTTAAGAGAAAAGAAACATTTTAATTACATATGCTGACAACGTTGAAAGTGCTTTTGTGAGTTCTAAGAGTTCTAAATTGATTCAAAATTCACATCGAACCCTGGTAGGTGGTTCGATGTGAAGAGAATCATGTGGTGACTTTATTCTTTTGGCTTGCCTCTTGTAAGTGAGTTCCGGTGCATCCCTACACACAGAACAGCAGTAATTCGCAAGCATTACTTCATTCCAACGGCTCTGATATCTTTGGAACAGAAATATCCTGGTGGAATCTTTCTCCATGTTCATCACTGACAGCTTCACAACTAGGAGGAAAAAAGTCTACGTGGGAGTGGAGAAAATGGATTTTAACTTAAGGGACATGTTGCATCCGAGTTGAATGTATTTTTCCAGAAGTACTGTCACCAACTGAGTGTAGTTATCATCTCTTTTGTTGCCTAAGAATCCACGAATAACTCCCTTTAAGGCTTCCCAAGCTTCCTTTTCTTTTCCCTCCAAAACTCGGTCAAACGCGGGATTCTTTACAAGTTGTCGAATTTGTGGCCCAACAAAAGTACCTTCCTTAACCTTTGCATCACTTAATGTAGGAAATTTGTCTCTTATCTCTTAAGTACTTAAATGCCTGTCCTTCCTGGTTCATACCTTTGACAAAAGTCTTCATTAAACCCAGCTTGATATGAAGGAGTGAAAGAAGAACATCTTTTGGGTCGACGAGAGGCTCGGCAACGACATTTTTCTCGGTAGAGTCAAGATTTCTTGCAGGCCAGTCCGCTTGAATGTAATGTGATTTCCTATCCCTACTGTTCCACATACATAAAAAGCAACAGTATTTAGTGTACCCCAGTTCCTAAGACTACATCGATGACTTTTAGATCGCCACAGATTTTCCACTTTTGTTCAGCATATTTGATTGAGTCGAGGAGGGCTGTCATGTTTGCATAAGTCTCCGCCATGTGAACAGCGTGACCAACAGGAATAGAAGGAAGACGGTTGCCGTTGTGAAGTAATACAACTTTCAAACTAAGCTTTCACTTAGATCATGGTTCAAACATTTCATCAAGTTATTAACGTCGCAGCAAACAACCAGATTGTTTTTCTTCTCAAAAGAAGGAGGTAGATCTTTCTGACGTTCTCTGTACTGTGAGACCATGACATCACATTGGAGAAGATTCCATTGCTGTAGTCTTGACCCTAGAAGTTCCGCCTTATTCTTTGACAGGTCTAGGTCTCAAATGAGATCACTCGATTCCGCTTGACTCAGTCTGTGTGGTGTATCATCTTTTGCCTCAAAATCAGGGTCATGGAATGTGGAAGGCTTGTTAGGTTCTTCTTCTCCCACACTTTCTTTATTTTCTACTTCAAGCTCATAATGTTGGGATGGAGTAGGAACTGGTAAACTATCTGAATGTGGAATAGGTCAAATAGCAGGTGGAAGATTTGGATATTGAACTGTTCCTTTTTTATTTATTGACAATCCTGCCTTTATAGGAGGAGTCAAGCAGAAATAGCAGTCATCTTTATGGTTTGTAGGCTCCCGCACAGCAAAAGCCATAGATCGTTTTTTATTTTTCAGCCATTCTCGTAGTATAACTGAACAAGAATTGCAACATACTATGTATGTGGAGCCCATGACTTATCCTGGTCCCCTACCTTCATACCAAAATAATGGTGATAGGCAGTCTTCACAAGAGGCGTCAGATTGCGTTTCTGTGACGAAAATATTATTTCACCACAAATATCACAAAAATTGTTCACTAAATTTACACATTTTCGTGGCATTTTGGTATAATCAGTATTACACTCCAAAACCAGGAATTCTGTAAAAAGAAAAACAGAAGCAACATTAAACTCAGAGTCATAGATACATTTATTATGTTTATAATCTACAAACATATGGATAACGTTGTGCTATGCCAGTTGGAAGGTGTGACAACTCCCAAAAAATAAATTTTTCCCAAAATAAAATGTAGACCCTAAAAAAGGACATGTTAATGTATCTCCAAAGCAAGAGCTAAACGATCATTTTTATGGTGATTTTTGAATTTAACAGATGGAAATACATAAGAATACGCTAATTTTGAGCCCGAAACACTTTCATTGTTGTGCAGTGTTATCTGGACTTTTGTTTGAGAGGAGAGAAACTCGCTTTTTTTCAGCTTTTTAAATAATACTTTTAATTAAATTTTGTTGAATGTTTTCTAATTTTATTNCATCAATAATTGCTGTTTCAATTAAAACTTTTTAACAGCATAATTAATTTCAATTACAAATAAAACAACATTTATGTCTGTTCAAATAATTTTTTCTTTGACATTTTAATTCTTAACTATAGCTTTCATCATAAAAACATTCTATTTGTACATATCTAAGAATGGGTAGATGTGATATATTACTGTTATTTTTTTTTGTTTTTACTTTATTTACATAAACAAAACATGTATAATTATAAGCCAAATGATTGCCATAATTAATTGAGATATTAACAGTTTCTAATTATTAATTATAGCACAAGTAATTTGATACTAGAGGTAGACATTAGGCACCATCTCTTATCTAAATTAATAATTATAATAATTTAATAATTTATTAAATAATTTAGAACATTCCAGAAGAAAAGAACTAGTTGGGATTTGAACCCTCAACCTCCACTTACTGTGCAATGTGCTCGCCAGTTACGCCATCCAGACCCCAAGCAATTAATTATAGCATGTTAATAGTCCGATTAATTACGGCGATCGTTTAGCTTAATATCAATAAATCAGTTTTTGGGAAGTCAATATTTTTGATTAATTATAATTTAGTAATTAATAAATGCGTATACAGAATTAGACCCCAAATAATAAGAGGGCCTTTTCTTATGTCAATTGTAGGACGGACTCACAATGCACGCGAGCGGGTAATGGGGGGATGAGTATGTGTAATAGATTACCTCCGAACACTTTTAAATCTGGACTGGAACTCGGTTCTTTCAAAGTTATAAAGTGGCATGTAAATTGCTTTGGCCATCTGAACTTTCTATCCTTCTTCATGTTAATTTTTTAATTAAAACAAGAAATATTCATTAAACAAATTCATATTGAACTCACTTATTAATAAAGCCCACCAGTGGCCGAGCAGATAAAACCTCTGAAGACTGGTAATTGGTCTAGGGTCCGTGCCTAAACAATGGTCGAGTAAAATTTTCCGGGTTTTCTTAAGTGTCTAATACGTAGGCTAAATGGGGACCAGTTTCCCATAGACAGGCCTCCTGAGAAGCACCCGCACTGACAGATCGTCCATGTGTTTTAGTCTTGATTTGATGGACTAAAGCAACCAACGCAAAGTCAATTTTCTAGAGAGTGTTCACAGTAAAAATTTCTACGGAAAATTGACTCCTATTTAGGTGTTAGACAAATAAATAAAATCCAGAAAACTAAATTTTATTGCCAACCCGGTGTTCATTTGTTATCCGGCAAGTGGTACACAAAAACACATGACTTTCATGACGAAATATCAGAAATTATTGAAAGAATTCCTCCCCATATTTCTTCACCCACAGGAATTATTTGTCCTGTGCTTAACTGAAACCTTTCCATTCCTTTATCTCTCAATTCTATAGCGTATGAGTACTTTACTCCAAGATCTGCATATGCCCAATCTACAGTACTTCCCGTAGCAGGATCTGGAATAAAATTATTTTTAACAAAATAATAAAACTTTGACTCAATATATAATTTAATGGTTAAAATTACAGTATTTACATTAAAAAAATATAAAAAATAGCAAAAATATAATATTTATGATTAATTACATATAACAAAAATATATAAAAGAGAACTTATCAAATGCAAACTAAATGTGTTAACTAACGAGGTGCATAATGAGGACGATAGGAGTGAGAGTATAATAGAAAACATAACACGTAAACATATCTATTGCTTGTACCTGTGTTTGCTGTACTTGGTTTAGTTATATTTGATCATATAAGAATAATATTGTACAGTCATTCACCTTTTAACGTCAGTAATGTATTCTTAAAAATCATATGTTCTGCGCGGAAAGAATAACCGGAATCCTATTTGCTGTTATTTTAAATAGGAAAATAACAACATAACCTAAAACCCCAATTTCCTGAAAGCGTGTTTAGATTTTCTGCTATTATATTTGTTAGATGTTTTGATTCCTTTCGCAGTGCCAACAAAATCCTAGGCACATTTTCAAAGCGTTTGACGTTTGGGGACGGAAATTTCCGGATCAAAAACACCAATACTTACACAACAACGTACTTATGCTACCGGGTTCAAATTTCGTTCCGTAAAACTTTTTAATAGCTGATGCTGCACGTGTTGCGACGGTCATCTTTAAACAATAATTAAAAATATTCACTATAATAATAATAAGAACAGTTATTAAAAATCTATTAATAACTTACAAGTTCAAAATGATCTTTAGTAACTGTTAATTTATAGCCCCAAGGTAAGAGTATATATTGTCCATAAGAATGAAAACTCATATAAAATTTTACTCTATTTTTAACTTCCGATAAAGTCTTTACTACAGCTTGAGTTTCTAATTCTGACATTGAACTTGGTCCAATATATTCATCTGAATCTGGAAAAATGGCTGATTGTTTGGCTATATACGAATGTTAATCGTATTACTCTTAGTATGCTCAATAAATATTTTTAAAAAATGACACAAAACTTTCTTACTTAAAATTCCTTTCCATTCGAATGGAAAATTTCGGTTTAGATCAACTCCTCCTGAATGCACCTGGCTCCGAGAACGATTCTTTCTCCATAAACGCTAAAATTTTCCAAAAAAAGAGTAGATCTTAACGCTGGTAATATATCCAAAGTCTAATTTTTCATTGCTAATACTTACGTTATATTTGAATGTGTAATCATATCCGTCTGGATTAACGAGGGGCATTATATACCAATCGTAAGCATCTAACAACTTTGTTGCATCGTCATCTAATCCATATCCACTTAAAATCTAATTTAAAAATTTAAGACATTATTTTATTTAATTAGAAATATATTAAAATATAAATTAAATATGATATAAACTTTATATATGAAATATATAGCTGTGGAAGGTGCAATCCACTCTCTTGCGTGTATTCCAGCATCAATCCAAATAATTGGTTTGTTCGCACGAGGATTAGAAGTTAACTAGAGAGAAAAGCATTTGATCTTCATCTTTATAAACCGTATTTAATCTTCATATTAAACGTATAAACAATACTTTTCACAAATTTAATTTATATGACCATTTAATTACTTACTTTGATTAGTTTCAGCTTCTTTTTGCGATAAGTCTTACACAAAGTTTCGATTTGTATTTTTGAACCAAATTCACGTGCAATGTCATGTAAATATTTATAAATCTAAAAACATTAATCATTTTTATGAAGTAAATATACCCTATTCTTACTGAAGTAATCAGATATATTATCAAATGTCTATGATTTAATACTCATTACTTACGTCTTTCGATTTATGATATTTATCAAAAAAACTAAGTAAGGATCTTTTCGAAACAAATGATTCGGATTTGTTTAAGAATTCATTCTCTTCATCGATCAATCTATAATTAATAAATTATCAATGTGCTTATTAACACATACACATTATTTATATTTAATGTATTAAGTCTTATAAGTTTCTATTTTATCATCACTTTTCCTGCTTATTTTGTNTGGTGCAATCCATTCTCTTGCGTGTATACCAGCATCAATCCAAATAATTGGTTTATTCGCGCGTGGATCAGACGATAACTACAATTAGACATTTTGAAAAATATGTAAATTATAAAACCACATTATCATTTTTATATTATTAAGCTTTTATAAACGTTAAGAGTAAGTCTAGTAGTCTATCTGATAACTTTACTTTAACCAGTTTCAGTTGCCTTTTGTTGTAAGTTGTTCCCAAAGTTACGACTTTCATTATTGAATGAAATTCATGCGTCAGTGTACTCAAATATTCATAAATCTTAAATAAGATAAAAAACAAACAAAATCAAAATTTTCATTGTGTACGATTTTATAGTGTTATTAACTTACTTACTTCTTCGGAATTGTGATATTTTCTAAAAAAGTCAAGTAAGGATCTTTCCTGATGTTCTGGTTCAGGGCTGTTTAAGAATTTATTCTCTTCGTCGATTAATCTGTAATTAATATATATATACTAGTATATACACACATACGAAGGTCACTTACTAAGTCATGGCAACAATTTTTGTGCAGGCAAATGAATTGTTACATAAACATTTCAATACACACATATGAAAAGACATAATGTACTCTACAAATAATGTGTTATTCGGGAACTTGTCATTTCATTTATTGCATAGGCCCTATACCTTATAATATTGATGCATAGTTGCTTGGTCAATACTTGTTTATGTCTCCAACTCCTGCAGAGACCATCGTCTGTTGTTCTCTTAAACATTGGATGATGACAGTACAAGCTATATTAATACGAACAGTCTTAGTGCGTTCAGTACGAGGCATGTCAATGGTAATTGTCATGCCTCGTACTGATATGTCGGTAATTGCTACTCTTCCACGTTCGAAATTTTACAACAGTTCTTACAACGGGAGAGCATGCTCACCGATAGCTTCTACGAGCTGTGCATGACATTTTCTCGTGTTTCGCATTTCTCTGTTCCAGACTCACATCCACACTGAACGACGGTCTTTTCGACCAAGTGACTTTGAGCTCCGCACCATCTAGCAGTGTCATTGTGTAACAAACAATACATCTCAATGTCACAGCTGTACATTGGAAAAGGGAAATACAGCTGTACATTGGATCGTGGCATGGGATTCCGCAGAAGAAAATGTTGCCACGACTTAGTAAGTGACCCAGTATATATTAAACCAGTATTATCACTGAATTTGTCTTTTTATAATTGTTAAATTGAATTTTTTTAAAATTATCATTAATATTATATTAATTACATTATATCTTAAACTTAAAGTAGTCGATTAATAATTAAAATTATTCCTTTCTCACCTCTGTACATCATTAGTAAGAAGAGAAAAATCAACTTTATTTGCAATGAAACTTTGATTAAACTCTTGAAATTTGTTAGGAGGAATCATTAAATCTACTGGTTTTCGTACCATTCTGGGCTGAGTCCAAAAATCTACCTAAAATTAAAACAGTTTTTATGAAAATTATATTAAACTTTAAACTAGATTAAGTTACTTGAGAAAAAATGATTTTACTTTTTCTTCATTATAAAGATCTTGAAGGAATCTCAGAGTTTTTTCATTGTATGGTGTGACACGAAGTACAGAATATCTAGCAATAAGTTATTGGTTATATTAATATGTTATAAAATGAGAGATAAGAAAACAAATTATATAGTTTACCCATCATATCTTTTTGGAGGACCATCATCATCGTTATTGCTATCATCGCTGTTAATTCCAACAGCAAAGGAAAAAACTAATACTATTAATACCAGTGTAATCGGTTTCTTCTGCATTATAATATTCTAGAGCATAAACTTATAACAGATCTATAAGTTCGTATTTATATTAAAATACAAAATTTTTGTCATCATGATTACGTAAAATAATATAACATAATTACGTTTTAAAATGTTTACGATAACCGTTTTTAATATATGCCCGTAATAAATCATATCATACTGTTTCAAGAAATTTGATTTTTTTTAAATGAATTTGATGCGTTTATTTTTTATTGATTCCATTTAGTACTGTGCACTGAGGAAAATACTCCGAAATATACAAAACATACAAGATGAATATTCTGTCGAATCATCCGTACAACAATCTTATTTTTCGTTTAGATAGACGTCAACGTTTGAATTTTAAATAATTGTTATTAGGACGATTATAACTGCAATCATCATCAAAGAATAAAAAATAAATAAAAGTTTAGGAAATCAATTCAGTCAAATCTCGGGTTTCGAACAACTTAATTCGTTCTTAAAAGTTGTTCGTAAACCGATTTGCTCTAAAACCGAAACAAATTTTCCCACAATATAAAATTGATTAATCCGTCTCCGACCCCCGAAACAAAACCTTTTGTTTTTTTTTACCTTTTTAGCTGTATTTCATGCATAAAAACGCCTACAAATGCAGTATAATATAATATTATATATATATTCTATTTTTCTTCTTTAGCTTCGCCTTTTCCCATGTTTATATGAGGTCAGCGTTTCCATGTTTATATGGGCTCTAATATGTTTTTTTTTTCCATTTCTTCCTATCAAGGGTTTCTTCTCTCTTAAGTCCCCTCTGGTTCAAGTCTTCTTCCACCTTATCTTTCCAACACATCTTTGGTCTTCCTCTTTTTCTCTTTCCTTTTACTACCAGTTTTCCGATTTTCTTTCCAATATAATTATCACTTCTTCGCTCTACGTGGCCAAATCACCTAGTCTTTCGACTAGTCTTTCTCCTAGATCGACTAGTCTTTCTCCCTCTCCATTCTTTTCTCTCATATTCCACCTTCCAAGAATTCTTCTTTCCGCATTCTTCCTCCTCCTAACATGACCATTTAAATCGCCATCGTAGATTAATCTCTTGTTTATAAGAACACACATTATAACTTGGTCAAGATCTGTCCAAAAGTTTGTCTTTTCTTCTTCTCCACTGCCTGGCTGAAGCTAAAACCCCAATTTCCTGAAAGCGTGTTTAGATTTTCTGCTATTATATTTGTTAGATGTTTTGATTCCTTTCGCAGTGCCAACAAAATCCTAGGCACATTTTCAAAGCGTTTGACGTTTGGGGACGGAAATTTCCGGATCAAAAACACCAATACTTACACAACAACGTACTTATGCTACCGGGTTCAAATTTCGTTCCGTAAAACTTTTTAATAGCTGATGCTGCACGTGTTGCGACGGTCATCTTTAAACAATAATTAAAAATATTCACTATAATAATAATAAGA